TCAGCGAAGTAGAAAGTAAAGAGTCTTGAAAATTAGAAAAAAAAGTCCCTCAGGTTTATTTACAAGAAAAGATAAATGATCTAAATATTTCCCAAGAGGACAAGCACAAAATATTAGGAATTATGAAAGAGAGTTTTGGTAAAATACCACATATAAAAGACCAGTTTGATTAGTTAGTGTTAAGAAGTAGGGGAACCTCCTCTGGTTCCCCCTAATAATTGAGTTTTAAGGCTTTGAATTATTAGTTTTTTCTTAGAAAACAAAAGTTTAGCAGTAAAAATAAATCTGGTGTGCAATTTTAAAGAGGCTGATAGAGATGTTTTTCTAGGGATTTTACCTTAATTGAGGAGAGAGAACCAAAATCTAATAAATTATCATAGTTTAATTTTTGGCTATCAATATTAAAAGTTTCTAAAATATTTTTGCTTGTTACTGGCACAATAGAGGTAAGCAAAAAGGCAATAATTTTTAGGCCATTGGTTAAATAATTAAGCGCCAGGTATAAAAGGATATTATTACCTTTTTTTGCCAGTTCTCAGGGGGCTAAATCGGAAATTAATTTGTTACTGGTACCAATTAGGGATTGAATTTGAGCCAAAGCCTCCGTGAGTTTATATTGGTTCATTTTTTTGGAAAATTCCTTTACTACTAAACAACATTTTTGCTGATAATTTACCAGTTCTGTATCTTTTGTTTCCGGGGAAAATTTGGGAATAATCCCCTGATTATATAAATGAAGCATTTTATTTACGCGGGAAACTAAATTACTTAAATTATTGACAAAAAAATCCTGGTAGAATTCCCTTAGTAATTTTTCCTCGCAAATTCCATCTTGTAAAAAATTGACTTTGGCGACGAAATAGGCTCGCAAGAGGTCGGGGGGATATCTTTTTAATAGTTTCAAAGGGTCAATAACATTACCTTTGCTTTTGCTCATTTTGCCCGTGGGAGTGGTTAGCCAACCATGGGCTAATATTTGGTTAGGCAAGCGAGTCCCTAAAAGTTTTAAAATAATTGGTCAATAAATCCCATGGAAACGGACAATTTCCTTCCCAATTACCTGAGCTATTTCGCAAGCACTTGCTTTTTGGCTGGCTAATTTTTCGAGAAAATGTCTGGTGGCTTCGGTAGTGTCAATTTGCCAAATTTCACCTAGTTCAAAAAATTTTATTTTTCCAATAGAGGTTTTTTCTTGTTCTTTGATTAATATTTCTCCAGAATAATTACCGGCCTGATAGCAATAACCCTTTCAGTCATTTTGAAAAATATCTTCACCGACTTTCTCTAAATCCCTAATTGTCAAATTAGTTTCCTCATAAACTTCTCTTTTAGCTGCTGTTTCGGGGGTTTCACCTGGTTCAATTTTTCCTTCCGGCAAACACCATTTGCCTAATTTTTTATTATAAACTAAAAGGAATTGATTATTTCGGCTCTTAATAATTACGCATGAAAATTCTCCTACTACTTTATATTTTTTTTTGTCAAGCAATTGCTCAGGAAAAAAAAATCTCTCACCTGGTTCGGAATTAATATAATTACAAAGAGCCTCAAATCAAACATAAATAATCATTTTTGGCTCGTTCGGCACCGAAATTCCTCATTTAACATCGCGGCGGGTAATACATAAATCTAAAATGTTCTCCTTCAAAAAATTACTGAAAAGTTCTTTTTGAGCCTTAGCAGGCAAAAGAAAATTCGGATTTTGTTGATAGTGTTCTATTAATCAGGAAGCATATTTGCTAACTTTTAAAAAATAAGCAGGTTCGTTAATTTTTCGCAATTCGGTTTGGCAGTCAAGATTAGGGCAAAGGTTATTAATTGCTTTACTATCACTAACATAATCTTCACAAGTAAGACAATAATTACCTCGATATTCTCCTAAATAAATATCTCCTTTGGCTAATAATTTATCTTTTCTTGTAAATAAACCTGAGGGACTTTTTTTTCTAATTTTCAAGACTCTTTACTTTCTACTTCGCTGA